AAATTTGTATGGGCTGTACAAAAGTCCTTTGCGGATGATTGCGCTTGCGACTCCTTGTTGCCCGGTTCGCCGCCTGTGTGCGCAGAGACGTGTCAGCTCTAGAAGGCTAGAAGGAATTACTCGCAGATTGTCCGACTTTTGCAAGTGATTCGGGCTTGAAATATGTGCGTGCAGCGCCGAAGTCATAGGTGGTGAAGATTGGTCCTCTAGACTTGGGAAATCGAGATTTATATCTGTTATCTTATCGCTTCTCAAACAGAAGATCAAGACGGACCGCCGACGTGGTCGGACTTGCGTGAAAGGAAGATGTGACAGTGTCGCAATCGATGCGTACGTTCAAGCTCGAGTTCCGCAGTCTAGCAAAGGTGGCAGGGACCAGGCAATAAAAAACGTCAGGGTGAGTAAGCGCTGGCACGCCACTCCCATTGTTCAGTGGAGTCCCCAATCTACCCCTGCAAGCAGTGTCGTCCGTGCCAAACACCACTGAAGCGAAGAAGTCAATGTGTTCTGTGATGGAGGATCAACCCCCAGGAACGGCTCGCGGCTTCCGTACGATATCGTTTCCTCCACATCAAGTATCTCCTTATCAGGCTTACAAATCCCATACAAGTGCACACTCTTTACTTCATCTGAAGACGAAAAGCTTGGAAGGCACTCGAACATTCAATAGCGCTGTATTGCTGTATTTGAGAACAAATACACGAAATGACTGGTCCTGCTCACAGCTGGCCTGCGAGCTTTCACAGTGGGTGATTAGTGCCTCAGGCTTTGTTCGCGATTTCGAATCGGTAGTTCGCTTTGTGCATGACGACTGCGCCATGCAAGACTGCAGCCTGCGAGCGCTCATTGCTGAGTACGCTGCTTGCGTGATCAAAGATGTGTTGACATTCGAAGATTGGGCAGGGCTGCCTGCGGTCGTGGCCATACTTGAGGCAGATATATAGGCTTAGCATTGGTACGGTCGATGCAAAAGTGTCTGGTACTTTGATAGTTAAAATTGGTCTCCTAGATGTCCCCATATATCTGTGGTTCGCGATGCTGTGTAAAGCCTGTAGTTCTCTTACAACGAGGAGGGAAAGGGGTGTCAAAATAGATTGTACTTCTGAAACCTCAACTAAATCAGTGCGCAGTGGTCCTCCACTACCTGCTGGACTCTTTCATGTGAGAACTGCCAAATGTATTGGGAAAGTTACAGTGAATGCTAGTGGACTACTACAGTCTTTGCCGACCTTCAATAGCAATACTTACGGGACTAAACTACTGTCCTGTTATTTCCCAATCCATAGGGTCCCCGTTACACTCACCGCCCCCGCCTGCCTGTCGAAGCTCGCGCTGCTTCCCCATCGGAATCTCAACCTCCTTCAGAGCAATAGCATACACAGCTTCCAACCCCCCCATTATTTCCATCACAATCCATCGCATATCATACATCCTCGACGACACCTCCTCTGACTCTCCCGGGTCCTTCCATCTATTTCTCAATTCTTTCGCCTGCCACAACGCCTGATTCACACTTCCTGTTCCTAGAGTAGCGCGCAGTGAACCATTTTCATCCAGCGCGTTCAACACGTCGTGATGGTAAGAGTGACGTGACCATCCATTCAACGGAAGTCCACCAATTTTTGGTTTACTTCTCTGCCTTTGCACGGAGACCCTGAAAATGTGTAGTAAATTGACAATAGCCTGTTCAATTAACGCATAAAATCCTTCAAAATCCAGTTTAAAATTACGCTCTGCGTCTTTCAATGTGAAGCCAGAGGCCAAGGGTATTGAAGTGCGACGATATGAATCACTGAGGCCGATGAGCTTCCAGCGGAGACGGTGCCAGGTGTGTTCGAAGCACCGGAAGGCCACAAGACGGGTGGGAATTCCCGCATCAGAAGACGTTGCACTTGCTTCTTCCGAATCCGTCATCATTGAGGCGATGGCCAGCGCTTGCGAGGAGGCAGATCTTGGTTCATGGAGGCGTGTGTCGAGCATGTGATGCGAATGGGCCGAACGAGGTCCTCTCTTAGGCATTTTAAGGTGGTGATTTAACTGCGTGGTTAGACGGATTTCCGCGATGTTTTGCACCAAATTAATGTAGTGCACAGTTTAGGACGCGTTTGAACAGTTATTTACGTGCTGTATAGATGCGCGGTCTTAGATTGAGGTTCCCAGATCACAGACCTCAGCAGCGAAGTCTAAAAACCGAGATAAAACCCACCTCGTCCACAGAGGGCCCGTACGCATTTTGCACGTAATGGCTAATGCATGTGCATGAAATCAAGAGCCTTGAAAGTACGTTTTAAGAAGACAGTCTCTCGAGCCACGGGATTCTCGAGTTTGCCCGTATTCAACAAAAGCGATCTAAGTGATAACAATACTAAAGAACTCTTAAAGGTATTTGATCCCATTTAAAATATAAGAGTAGATTCACGACTGCTTGATTGGAACCGGTCATGATTTCCGAATAATTTTGGCGCATACTAACTACCCTTGCGTGGTTGCATAAAGTGAATTCCGTTTAGATACCTTAAGCCGTAGCAGAAATTCAAGTGTTCGGTAACAAAAATGATTCATCTTGTTGCCCTCGGAAGATGTATACATAGTGCGATGTGATCGCCTCCTCAGCGTTTCATACACGGCCAAGAATGACATAAGGATCTTGGGGTCACAGTGATCGGATCCCTTCCCACGTGTTTTTATCCTCAACACGCCACCCATGTGCAAATTCTTATCGCTAATAAATTCGGCGAGAACCTCATTGGTCCTCTGATCTAGAAGTATAAAATTCCGGCGGCTCATTGCCCAAGTATTCTTCGTTATCCAAAGGAGCTGCGCAGTCTCTCAGTGAGGGAGAAACGTTGTCCATCTGTACTCTTCCTGGCGGTGATCTTGCCACGCTAGGTATATCTTCTTCTTCTTCTTCGTCTTCTCCTCCACCTCTTCCCAACGTGTTTCGTGCGGCTTATGAAGGTTATTAAAGCGAATATGGATCTTCCAAGAAGCCCAATGCATGTAGGATACAGCAATATCTGGAGAGGAGATGTGCAGGTCAAGAAGGGTGAGTTGCTGAAAGTGATCATTAAAAGTCATTTGAGCATAGAATTCTCGTCGCTCCTCATCTGACAGGACATTGTAGCCCGGCTGCAATGGATCCCTCCATATGGCAAAGCGCCTCACGATGGTGTCTTCCTCGTCAGCGGAGGCCACCGATGAGTCCGGAGCGAGCCAAGACAGGGGTTCCCGAGTCATTTGTTGAACAAAATAGCACTCGAATTTTACTGAGCACCTCGGCCAGGGTGAAAACCCGCTAAATTAAACCTGCATATATATATGTATATATACATTTAATACTGATGCTTACCTACGGCTTGTAAGCTCCTCGACCGACGGAGGTGCTTGGGCCGAGGCGGGCGCTACACGGAACTTAGAGGAAGGTGCTCAATTCAAGGTGCTAGGTGCCGCGATCGCAGGTCTCAATAGTGGAGTCCAGTTGTCTGGTACTCTTCATCCCATCCTTGACCAGTTGGCGACGAGCTAAGGCGAGAGTCCATGGGCAGAATATTATCTGCTGCTTGGTGTTCCTGAACACCCTCCATCAAACCTCCTCGACCGACGGAGGTGCTTGGGCCGAGGCGGGTCGAGCTACTCTATGCAATTCGTCGTCGCTCCGCGAAACCATGTCTTTAACGTGGCCGTGGTCAGCATTGACGCTATGAATCTGGCTGCACTGGTTTGACGACACGACAATGCAATTCTGCGATTGAGAATTCTGGACGGGGATGGTCGTGGATGCAAGGCAGGGCTGGCAAGAAGGTTCTGCATTCTCCTCTTACAGTGCTTCATCCCTTGGAGCCAATATATGCGCGGACTGCACTGACCGACGCTCGGAGGCCAGCGAGACGACACCAGGTCTTCGTATAAATGTAAGCAATACCGAGTTTACGCCATCATTATGTTATTGTATTACCGGAGACACCAACTCATTAGAGTCAGTGGCGGTCCCCGGGCTATCGAGAGCTCTTAAGACGAAAATCATACCTCTCGGAGAGTTTAAGGCTGATGAATCAGAACTCTCTTGCTCCCCCGGTAAGCAAAGATCCTGGGTTGAGCTCTCAAGGCTCGAGTTTGCCATTACAGTACCTTGAAGTTGGGTTTGCAATTGCTCACTGATATCTTCTGTTGGACCGTGTCCGACGTTAAGCATGGACGCCACAATCGCAGAGATACTATCACTTCGGCGTCACTATCTGTTTCAGACTCGGAATCGCACGGGATCGATATCACGTCATTCAAAGGCCACGGGCGATCAAGAAAGGAACAGGCTCTCGCAGTTTGTGCCATCATGTCGGTGTAGCGTCCTAAAAAGCTGATGGGGTTTGAGGTGTGGAAGCACGTGAAGTTAGGCTATGGCTGTCCGCGTCTCTTACAAGTCAAAGGCAGCGAATTGTGAGGAATGATAAAGTTAAGGTCAAAAAGTTTTACGCAGCGTCATGGGGGGGGCGACCTCTTTATATACCCGTTTAAACTCGACCTCACGTACTACGTACCTCTGCTACCAATGCCTCGTCATGCCTCTAAATCTCCGCTCATGCGGCCATGCGGCCTGTGAGATAAGTTTATGGTGCTTCTCATTAGCAATATTATCCTCGCTTGTGTTTCTTGATTATTAACTACACAGAGTGCATCTCGCGTCGTAGACCATATTATCGAGGGGAAATACTGGTATATATATTCAATTAAATGAGTGGATGCTAGAAGATTTCTAACAAAATAAAGTCATACGAAATGAGATGTCGCGATTTAATAGATAGTGCCCTTATACTGATGACGGACACCACAACTGTCCTTATACATTGTCCGTTTGGTCCGGATTTTCTGTCTCTATTTCCACTTTTACCCAATCAGACTCATCAGCACGCTCCGAGTCAGTCACGCTCGATGCCCTTACGGAATCATTGGGTTGGGGTTCCATTTCGACCCTGAAGTTGTGACTATCTTGAGTAGCATCGACTTCACCGAGAACTTGCGTGTCTGAAGTAGCATGTGTAAAAAACATCCACAGAATAGATTTGGAGTCCAGGAACACCGGTACTTGTTGCAAGTTCTCTAGCCTTATCGGGATCGTCGGGGTAACAGTCAGTCCAAGGAATCACCGATACATCCCGCAGCGCAAATGAAGACTCCGGCCGTTCAGAGGCGCTAGGAATCTTGCGGGAGCAGGGGGAGTCGATGTCAGTGTCCCCAGTTGCTGCAGTATCCTTGGTCTCTGCAAGAGGTAGAGTGCGGGATTCTGCCACCGTGGGGGTACCAACAGCACTCAACGAGACAGACCGCAAAGCTTTGCAATCCGTATCGTTGCGGGGTGGAGTTGGAGAAAGGCTAGAAACTTGGACGAATAGTGCGCTAAAATGGTACTGATTGCTGTTCTTTTCCGACGTTTCTCCTGTCTCGCTGAACTTAGTTTCAATCCATGGAGGAAGACCAAATGTAACGTTTATGCCGCCGTAGCTCTCGGTAGAGTCATGGATACCATCATCAGACTTTCTCTTACTAGATACTGTTTTTGCTGTGTGACATTCACGAACATTCTCGTTGAACGGCGAAAGGCCGTGGTTTGCGTCTATACCCTCGTGAATTCTAAACTTTAGTAAATCCTCCTTAATCCACTTCTTAAGGACAGAACTTGCGGGCACGTCCTTACTAATATCCCAAATTCCTAATGGAGATGTGGACGTGTTGGCGTACGGCCCACTGCACTGTCCAGGACTCAAGTCTCCCAGATTAGGGTTGGCATTAGTATGGGGTTTATAGATCTGTCCACTGCCAATGTCAAGTTCATGAATACCAGATGCCAACTGAGCAGGAGCTTCCTTGAAGTTTCCAGTCGTGGATATTTTGTGAGAAGGGGCAACACCCGATGGAGCTGCGGCCAACGGTTTATTGGAGGGAATGCCATGCCCATGATGGGGTGGAGTTGAAAGAACACTGATTTCCTCTGATCAGCATGTTCTAAGTCTGATACTTTGCTACAGCCGATTATAGCTTACCTAGAGGAGTCTTTCTTGTGACCTGATTTTCTCATCCCTTTCATCCACAAACCTTCGTCCTGCGCCTCGTCTTGGGAGACAAGAGTGGCAGGGCGCGTTTCGGGAGCGGTTGGCACCTGGTTGGAAAAGGGTTGGGGCATCTTGTTACGTATTAAAACAAAGGAATTCTTTGAAATGGGTTTATGGTTTAAGTCTTTGGGGTTCTGTTGTTCAGTGGCACGGTTCAATATGGTAAACAAACAGATTCTGCTCTGCCAGAGGTAGGCTTTATATAGGCGTTCGAGCCATTTTCTGTGTACAATTCGTTCCGTCCTTCTCTCCTACGGGAACATAGCGATACTTTCGCACCCCTGGGCAATACACGCAGCTAAATTGAACCAAACTGTTTGCAATACGAACTTCGCCGAACCGATGCCAAATTGACTCTTTTTCGATGCTCAAGCCAACAGCTCCCCTGCAAGTCACATCACCATGGAAGTTACATCCACGCATGAACGGCACATTTTGATCAGCAACACAGAGCCAAAAGTTCGCGTAGTGTTCCCTCAGCCGTCTTGTCGCATTCCAAGGTTTAGTACATCTGGCAAGGTCAATATCGGTGAACCAACACAGGTCGTTGCAAATGCAGCTGCTCCTGCAAGCCGTATCCAAGTCGACTGTGATGGATTTGTTAAATCCATGCATGGCTGAGACTTTGATATACAGGCTTTCGATAAGACATGAATTAGTGAAATCGTCATGCCCCCACGTAATACGCCACCTAGCTACGCCGCGTCGTCGCCGCCGGAGAAAATGTGGAGGAGCCGTCATTGAGTGCCTGAGGCACCCCACACATGCGCTTGGGCACTTGGGCACTTGGGCACCTGGGCACCGGGGCACCGGGGCACCGAAAGCAACATGAGAACATGCAGATGGCTTCCGAATGTGTCCAGTGCCTTGTGTGCCTACGCCACTTCCAAAATGATCAAACTTTAGCAGTACATGTTCAAGAGTTTCAGGTATGGTGACGCATAACACAATCCGATCATAGTCTAACGGGACAATCAGAGCACAACCATATGCGTTTTTGAGCAAATGCAAGATGTTATATCGGGCGGCGATCGTAACCTTGGCAGATTTACTGTCTCGGCTCCGTAACCTAGTCTTGCACCATGATATACTACCAAACAAATCCGTGAAGATCCAAGACGGTATACATCAGCAGAGCACGAATGGCGAACGTCGACAAGCTAAGACCCCTTCGCTGTTAAAAGAAGTAGATCAAGCTGCAGGTTTATTGAAGCTTGCCGATAGCGGCTCAGAAAAGCGCCAACATGGCCTAGGGGTCCACATGAAGACTGCAAAGCGTCGGTCTCTAGAAAGTAAGACCTCCTGAGACATTATGCCTTGCGTGAGCAACCCTGTCCACGCCATTTGCGATAGATACTGACAAATGAGCCAGACTCTGAATTTGAGAAGTCTAAAAGATGCCAGCCTTACCAACACATGTTCCAGTTCGATAAGCAAATTTAGAACGTTCCGCTGCGAGATGATGTGATACGTCGGTTGTTCGAGTAGGAGAGACGAAGTTGCTCCAATTGGCGTCTTGATAGCTGCGCGATGTGCCAATGTGTCCGGGTGCCCGGGTGCTCAGGTGTCTCACGTGCTTCTAAGGTGCTCAGGTGCCCAGGTGCTCAGGTGCCCAAAGGCGGGGCTCCCACCCCAGACTTGAGCCGTCCATCTTTCAAGAAGATTCATTCAAGAAATCAATCCGCAAAATGAATCACGATATCACTCAATGCCTTGTGTGCTCAGCCCAATTTCCTCATCGCGAAGGTTTAGCTGAACATATTGGATTATATCAGGTGCAGTATGACGAGGCGGTAAATGATCAGATCACGGCCTGACGTGAATTCCAGTGCGAAATCAGAGACGTGCTTGCGCGAGCGCAAGATGCCCTGCGTAGTGATCCTCCTTTGGTTTTGGAAATTGCAACATTTATTTCTAGACTACAGGATCTGGTCTCGCATCATGGTGTAGAGCCGAACCATTGCCAGAGCATCGACGAGAATTGTCAGGAAGTCAGTCGTGCAAGTCAACGCGTCAAGTCACTGCGGTCGGCAGAAGGAGATGCTTCAGCGCCGTCTGTGTTCATCGATAACAGCACCAGAGTAGAACAGAAACCAGAACTGGAATGTCCGCATGAAGACTGCCAAGAGGAACCACCCACATTCTCAAGAAAACAGGATCTTGAGCGACATTATGCCCTACGTGCGGAGCCATTTCCTTGATTCATCGACAACTACTAACGAACGAGTAGATTTCGAACTCCATGAATGCTGTCAATCCTGTGGTGCGCTCTTCACTCACGCAAAGAAATGTATGACCCACAAATGCGCTTCAGCAGATCCGGTACGACAAAGACAGAGGAAAAAAAGGATCAAAGCATTGCGCAAAGATATAAAAAGAGAGCTGGATTCAACGAGCAAAGCCAGGATGTGTTACCATGGGAATCACTCAGCCTCACTAAAAAGAGACGGTATGTCGAGCGATTTTCTTGGTAGGAATCCTCAGACGCAACCAGCAATAGGAACCGCTGGTCAGTCAATCGCGACTTGGAAAAACACGCCTGTAGATTGCATGTCTGGGCTATCGCCCTCACAGCCAATCAGCTCTGGCCACCCCCCAATGTCTGTCAACATTGATACAACTGCAGATCTTGCTCCTATATACAACCTATCTCTGCTAGATGCACAATGGCAGTCTTTCTCATTGCAACCATTCCCCGCTCCCAGCTACGCGGCTAGGCCCTCGGCTTTGCAATCTATTCCTACCGGTGGGCGGGAAGTATGTCTCGGGGTTGATGGCATCCACCGGAGCCAGGAGCAAATCAACAGTTTCTGATTGATGTTCGTCGCATATTGGTCTTTGGACTCGTTTGTGGTACAGTCGGGTATTTTAGTAACTTCAATGCTATGATGCTGTATCTTCGGCGGCATTTAAATGAAGGTCATAAGTAATGGTAGAACCCTTCATAATTCGAAAACAAAGTCGCCTATCTAGGATTGCTCTAGGCTGCGTTAGACCATTACATTGGAAATTGAAGAAATGGAAGCTCACACGCCACCGTGCTTCATTTCAATAGCAACGGGAGAGTAATTTCTCTTCTTCAACACTGCGCTAGCCGGCTCCAGCAATCCATTCGATGCTCGCGCAGCTTTCAAACGCGGTAATCCTGGAGGGTTCAGGTGGGAGCCATGGTATAGCTCTGCTTCTGATCCAGGACTCCACATATGCAGGATAATGAAATCTTTCTGCCCAGCGTCTAACGAAAAGACGAAAGGGTGATCCGGGTCGTCGCCTAACGTAATGCACAATCGAACGTCTGGTCGGCTGAGGTACGGCTCGAGAATTGGTCGAACATTCTGGAATACGTTAGAAAAGAAATCAGGTCGGGGTTAAGTAAACTCTTTCGCGAACCGAGTTTGCCAGAAGTATAGGTATAGCCGCATGCAGACCCTCACGGCTTTCAGCAATACCGCGCGTTTCTAGCTGAGTAACTAGGTTTCCGATAGTCGGATCCTCATCGTAGAAGTATCCATGTTCTTCGAAGAACTTCACCGGGTTGCTCGTCGATATTGAGGAAGCCATGAGAAATGCTATAAAAGTATACTTAAGTTGCTTCAACAATGGGGCATATTGGCCGAATGTTGAGCGGGGGAGCACCAGGTGACATTCACGTGATAATTCGCAAAGGGCCAGCTTTTGGATGAATCATCTCATACTAGGCCCGCCCTTAAATGCATTTAAATCACACCAGAACCCCTCCACGTCATAGCGGGGTACTTCTTCACAGCCTTAAATTGCTTCATGCCCAAGGACGAATCTTGCGCGCCTTAACCCTGTCCACGAACATCGACCATTCAACGATCCTAAGCCTTGGTAACGGCTCCAGGTTTATTAACTACTTAGAACGAATATGCTAATATCATCGCAGATTTGAGGCAGCTCCAGATATGAGCACCACCGAGTGTCCCAGCTGCCACGGCGAGGGCATGCGAGGGGATTTCATCTGCAGCAGGTGCAAAGGCCATGGCGTCGTTACCACTACACAATCTTCGAACTGTCAAACCACTCTCTCTGCAGATGGGATGACCATCCCAGTTTCGTCCAGCCACATACCCTTGTTTTTGTCTGAGGCTGCAAATGGCTGTCATGAATGGGAATGAGGTCGGATATGTACAGTACTTTTGTGGCTTGTGAAGGATTTTGTCTGTGGCCTACTGAACAGCATTTCTGTGGTTGGCGACAAGATGAGGATCTGAAGTATACTTGCTGGGCATCGGGCAACTTTTGGAAGCCGGGGCATTTGGGGCATTTGGGGCATTTGGGGCATTTGGGCACTTAGGCGCTAAGGCACTTGGGCACTTGGGCACTTGAGCACTTTGGTTGGCCGTGTGATCTGAACACCGAAATCAGCACAACGTCGTGTCGGCGCTAAAGACCTGGAGAGGAAGGGCGAGCCACTGGCAGGGGTAGTAGTAGTAGTCCTGTATCCACTGGTAGGGGATGTCTTTCGTGTGAGCCCTGCAGGGTAGCAATTTTTTTTTTTTTTCGATTTCTCTGTCCATGCTACGTCTTGTATACCTCATCTTAATCCACAGTTAAAACTATATCAAAAAGTGACTTTGAAAACTTAAGATCACGTCATTTTCCTACTTTCCATATCCCTGCATATGTCCTAATTTACAATAGTGGACGGGGGTATGGATAGAACGTCTGGAAGCATGTTGAGAGAACGAATCGTGAATAGCGTAAGAATGAGACGAATTGGTGACGATGGGCCGCAATAAGACAAGATGACGTGTTCCACTTATTGCCCTCTATCAGGCATCCTTTCTGGAAAGTCACGTCAGTACCTCAGCAAGCGTGAAATGGCGGGTTGGGGTGGGGAGGTAGGCCGAGAGACTGTATCCTAGCCATTTGCTCGTCGTTCCGCTGTTCAGGAAGGTACGGAGAACGCAACATACACTCATCCCCGAGACAAACCCCACCGTTGCCGCCAACATCAGATATCTAGTGGCTTCGTTTGCCTGAACATAATGTCATGGCAAGTGGCTGTGACTACTTTGCGGCCCGGCCACCACTGATGAAGGACCAACGCTGGGATAATTATGGTGATCCTTAGACACCCCGTGGCCCAAGGAGGAGCATTTCGCTCTATGTTGGCTGTTGTTTCAAATTTTCATCCTCGCTTTTTGAAATTGCGCGGACGTGTTGCGAGCATTGCCTACAAGTGTGCGTAATCTACTTACAAAATCTGCGGTCAAGTGGCCTAGGCCTAGAGTGTCCAAACCAGCCAATCGAAACGCGGTCCTTCATACACTAAAATCTATTCCCGTGAGCAATAAATCGAGGGTACCGTCTGAGCGAGATGATTTTGTGTTGGACCCAGAACCCTGTCGATCTCGGCCCTCCCTGGCTCCCACCGTCCTGAAGTCATCGCACGCTTTGCAAAGAATACCTCTCATTCTAGCGTAAAGCCTTTCGTCTTCTCGTTCCCACGGCTTGTCCCATGGGAAAATGATCTTCCGCAGGCTTTTCATCAATGGGATGAAGGATTCGAAATATGCCGTGAAATTATCGGTGATTGTCTTCACGAAAATCGTCTCCTTTGCAACCGTGCCCAATTTCAACTTCGCTAACTCCTCCATATCCACGTAGTTCCACTTGTCAAATTGCGGTATTACCCTGCCTTGATCTGGTCCGTCGTGGTGAATACATATCCAAAAGAGCACCCAGAAGAATGACTCAAGGTCGTGCATGAAAGAATGCTGTTCCCCCAGTAATACACCGATGGCCATAAATGCCCTAGTACCGGTCTTTCCCATTGCCCCCGAAGCCCCTTTTCGGTGCTCCCTTATAGCAAGGTCAAGGTCGATCAAGAAGGCTCGCCAAGAAGGATTCTCCTTATTCTCATTCACCATGAGATTATTAATGGAGATGTCTCTGTGGAGAAAGCCAGCCTTGTGTAAGGATTCATGACCTTCAATGCAGCCCACTAGGGCAGCAAGTAGGGTCGCACGGGAGCTTGCCTTGTAGATCGGCTTCCCATAGTCTCGAAGGATGACACGTCGATGTATCCGATTTGACAGTGCGTCCGGGTTGGGTTTTGTTGGAGATGCCGAACAAGATCGCTTGCTCGGTGGCAGAGCGGCGTCTGTTTCGCTTGATGGACGCTTCACCCCGGAGCTGCTGCTTCGCCCTTTGCGTGAAATACTCAACGCGTTGGTACTCGATGGCAACATCGCACGTCCTGAGCGGTAATTCGTAGCTTTGGTGACGTCTAGTCCCTTTCGAACATTATTTCGGATTTCGTCATCAGAATGGCGGACGCGAACAGTCTCGTGGTGATAGTATCGGGCAACGTTAATTGCACCTTTCTTAGTCGCTTCTTGTATCAGATCGCCTTCTTCGTCCCGGTTGGTGTACTGCCACGAGTCCTTTATGACTAGTGGCGTATGCGGATCATCCTTGTGATGAGCTTTCCAACAAGTTGTCGCTCGGCCAGAGATGCATGGTGCGCGCTTCATAACCTCGCCAAGAATGAGACGCTCTGACTGACCGTTTCGTTCTATCTCGATATATTTCTGGGCCCCGGCTGTTATTATGGTAGGATCAAACCCAAGCATCTCCTCGTTCATCCGCAGAAACCCCAAAATTGTGGTCACAAACTGTAGCCCACCTTCCTCCTTATTGATGTCGAATTGTTCGGAGGCGATCCCCCCAAGCCTGTCGAACTCCCATACTCTCATAAGAGGCCCGCAGAGAGTAAAACCCAAGACGAAGCGGCGGGTATCTTGAGCAGCGAGTACCTCTCTCGCATACCTGGCGAGATCAATCCATGCAATCGATGCTATGTCGGCCTTCGGGTTGCTTTTTAGTTCACCGGCAACAAGAATGTGAGCCCAACGATACCTTGAATCCGGATTATCAGGTTTGTATGTGATCTCGCTGTCGACAAAGCCGATATCCATGCTGCGCTTGCCTGTGGAGCCCTCCAGCGGTGTCCTCGGCTGCGCCAACAGCTTTCGCCTTGCCGCTGAAGTCGGAATGCGGTCGCCTGCGAATACTTCCAGCTTGAGGATTAAGCCGCCAATCCAAGCCAGCACGTCGCTCTCTTTGGCGCGTGCTGGCCATCCGCTCCAACCATCCTTGAAAAGTGGGTTGTTGCCCTCAGTGCACTTGCGGAAGACGGCCTCCGAAACTATGTCGAGTTCCGGCATGTCCCCAAAGAACGCCTCATGGAAATTGGGAAGGCCCACATAGAGATGTTCGAGCTCCTGTTTAAGGACTGGATCCACATTTTGGCGAGATTCTGACGAGTTCACAAAGCTGCTGGTATTTTGGCTCCATGGGGTTTGTTGGGTCGACGAAGGTATAGCTCGAGGCGGCGGAGTGGATTCGATAACGGCATCTGACACAAGCTCCCAGATTAGTGTATCTCGAGGCTTGTCGGTAAGTGCTTCCTTGATCAGTTTTTGGATACGATCAAAGTCAAAATTGTCCGCTGTGACAGCAGAAAGGAGTCGAAGGAGATCGTTTTCAACAGAGCCAGGTCCCGTCCTGGACGGTACCACGCGGGCAGCGGGAATATTTTGCAGCGCAACCAAAAGATTGAGAGAAAGCCGTCGAAGATCTAGAACAGTCAGAAGGGTCCGTCGAAGTACTCAGTCCGCCTCACCTGTGTTGCTAAGCTGGCTCAGGATGTCGGCGTTACAAGGAATGCTTCTGCTCCTGCAAATGGAATTGAATGAGGCGCGGAAGGTATCGAGTTCCCTCCAGATAGCGCTTTCCTCGATGGGCGCTTTTTCTGCTTGGTCCATCTCATCAAGGGAGATCGTGGTCTAAGTTGTTTGTGCTGAGAAGCGACGTGTTGGCTTGGTGCTACGCCTCGCGCGCGCGACGGCGGATCGGAAAAATACGAAACTCCGGATAGCCCTTGCCTTGAAATCAGGTGCCATTCGTAACCTCGGCCATCATCGTCGCAGAAGGGTTGAGGCCGAGCTTAGTGAGTCGCTCTCCTGCAGCACCTGTAGCAATGCCAAGTTTGAAGTTGCCACTACAATTTGATTGTCGCCTGCTTGCACAGTAACAACACCAGAGATGAAGTAGTTTTTGAGTGTGAATGGTGAAAGTGGGCCTCTAGTAACTGCCCCGATTGGCTCATGGCGGCTACCGGTCAAGCTGAATGCGCCACGTCATAGGGAAGGGTGCCTAAGGTGCTGCTACTGGTACCCTGGGTCGCTTCGCACAAGGGTGCCAGTAAGCGCCCAACAATCCTCGACAGGTTCTGGGGTTGGGTTGGATGACTGGTAACCTTTAGCGGCTGGTAGCCGCTGATGAAGAAGTTGCTGGTAGCCTATCGGTACCAGTAATCGCTGTATTCTCGTTGCCAGTAGCTAAACACTACTAGCAAATGCCTTACCCTGTTGCAGGTAGCCGTATGCGCTGGTAGCTTGCCAAATGTCGTGACTGGTATCGAAACCCGGGAGATTGCTGGTAACCGCTGTGGCGCACTCTGGTGTGACTGGTAGCCGCTATGTGTATAAGTCAATCCGGGGGGGCTGTTACTAGCAACAGGAGACCGGTCCCCTACGGGGTCCGCCAATGCCTTTTCGGAACGGGCGTGGCAGCACGGCGCTTGCCTTGCGAAAGAAAGCCTAACAATGCGTGTTTTTATATACAGGTAAGTGGCGACTGAGGTCATAGGCACCTGAAAGTGTGTTTGCGAGTGCCTGTTTTGAAGGAAAAGTTGGAAGGAGGGACTGTGGTTATGAGTGCCAGGCACTCCATGTCGCTTTATAGATGATCGATAGACTTTTAGCAGGTGACGAGAGGGCGATGGTGGCGTCTGCGTGTTTTTTTTTTTTTTTTCCCCTTGGGGGTTAGGACGGTTGCGGAGGACCTGACGCACGACGAAGACCCCGCGTTCAAGAAAGCTGTTTACTACCGTTTCCCATCCTATTTCTTTACCTTTAGCATTCATCTGTATCTTCCCCTGGAGCTAGCATTAAAGGAATCTCCATGGCTATTGATCACTCGAAATGGGATAGCATGACCCGGTCCAGTTGGCTTTGGCATCGCGCCTCCGCTTTCGGACCTTCCAACGAGTCGTACTGCACAGAGTCCAAATGCAATACCATTCCTTCTCACAACCACAGCCCAAAGCAGATATACAGTACATATAGTCTCTCTCCCCCCCTTGAATTGCCCAAAATCCGGCTAACTCACTATTTGAGGAACTGACCGGAATGCACTGCGTGTACGACAGACACGTCATGTCGATGTTAATGTAGGATTAATCTTGAGGGGGCGTTATGTTTCACTGGATCGCCACAGGCACTGCGAACTGCTTTTGGGAGTATTGTACGGTCGCCGGAGCGATCTCCGTGTGGTTTGATTGGCAGGTGCGATGAACCAACCTCTTGACGCGGGGATGACATAGAAAGCGGTGATATTCGAAAAGCGTCATTTTTTTAAGGTAGGAGACTACAGAACATACCGACACCAAATTTAGGATGTGCAATTTAATTCTACACGTTCCGTTTATTACTCTTCTATTACTTTGCGCATTTAGAATATGCCGAAAAACTCGCCCAGAAGAAGCGCCAAGCTTCCACGATTACTCCCTTACGAAGGGCCACGACTAAGCTACGACGCAACTGAGGAATCGGAACCGTCAAGATGCAAGCGAAAAACTGTACCAGTTGCTTGTGAGTCTTGTAGAAGTTCTAAATTAAAGGTATTTAGTCGCTACACCCAACCAACAAAAAGTTATTGCTGGAAAGGTTTATTCACTAAAACTAAGATATCATTCTAGTGGACCGAGGCATCACGATAGCTGGATCTTTTCGTGAAAATGAGAAGAGATAAAGCACCTGACGTAAAGCACGACTGGAAACACGTATTGGTAGTCGGCGAGCTCAAGAAATCCGGCCAGAAAAACAAAGCCCTGTGGCTCTAGGTTGGCAGCGCTGTTCGAAACGTATTCGCATGGCAGCCTACACGCCTGTTCGTGCACACCTTCACTCTGACCGGGACGAAGATGGAGACATGGCTCTTCGACCGTTCTGGGCCGTACAGTGGGGCCACGTTCGATATCCACGAGGAGCCCGAGAAGTTCATCCAGGTCATGTGCAGTTATCTGATGATGAGCGACGAAGAGCTGGGCTTGGATACGGTCACCAAGGAGAAAAACAACAAGCTATTCATCATAATGCCTGTTGAAACATGCGGGAAGAAACCGAAGCGGGAGCTTGAACTCGACCCCAACCCGATCGCCTGTCAGCGAGCGATTGTCTGTCGCGGCACATCCTACTTTCTTGCCAAGACTACGGGAGCCGACAAGTATGATAGGGTCGTGAAGTTCTCTTGGACTTCTAGCATGCGACCACTCGAGGCGGACCTTCTAAACAAGGCAAACGAACGCGGCGTGAAGGGCCTGGCGAAAGTGGTTGGCTACTACGAAGAAGTCACCAGCATAAGCAAGCTGCGTGAGAATCTCGTCTTCTCGACTCCGCACAAGTTTCGTAGCGTGCCGCGCAGCGCCAACACATCCTTCTCACAATCACAACCCTCACCGAGTCGCTCTTTCAGTCTAAACGATGAGTGCTTGTATCTTCTTTCGCATAAGCAATCGGCTTTTTTTGAGAGCGGCTGCGCATGACCAAAAATAGACAGCTCACGAAGTAAGAGCGATATATCGGGGTCACTGGTAGTCTTCCTCTCTCGCATCTCTGTCCCTGCCTTCTTCAGCCGGTCCGCCGTAATGCTCTCATAGACCTGCTCAAGGCGGGTTGGTCATATCCAAGGGAGCAGTCGCTTGACGATCTTTTTGGCATCGGAGCACTTTTCTCGCAAGCGCTGCTGCTACCCGAGGAGACTATATATCTTGCGTCTCCGTGATAACACAGTCCGTGTTGCTTGTGGAAAGTTCCCGGATTCGACACTTTGAAATGACCATTGATATCACCTGGAAACCGTAGTAATACGTGCAGGTTGTGCTAGAAAAGTATGCTAATGTAGGCCAAGTTCTTATTATTTTCAGGGATTCATTTGCATTTTTGGGCTGTGCCTTGCCTGGGGTGTCTGAAATCGACACGGCACGAGCCCGGTAGACACTATTTATGCAGGATTGAAGGGTTTCTTAGTGGCTATCATCTTAGCTGCGTCAACTTGAACAGTGGGCATGGAAGAGAATAACTTTCGAGTTCTAGTCAATCCTGGCAATGTCGTACGTATATTGAAGGGTCGATATGGTGATGACGAGTAAGTGCGAGATGTACAATTACAACGGCATAAGATGAGATTTGTGCTTATTGGGTGTTACGAGACGTAATTATCAATTAAGGCACTAAATAAACAAGTAACAAGCTTATTTCTAATGATGGGTTGGCCCTGTACGTATCTTGAAACCAGAACAGGAGAAGTCATCAATTTACGACGGCTAAAGGCGTTATGGGACGGTTCCATGGACTGAAATAGCATGACTTTACAGATGCATCTTATGTGCGAGAGTCATGTCGTAGACTTGGCATATTAGCTGTTCGTTGTCTCGTAATTGTAACAGATGTCTCCGGCGAAAGTGTTTGCTTAAATCACTAGAGGTGTAAAACTCCTGAATTTTATCCTCCACACGAGAATCGTCTAACGGTAATGAAAGCGCAGCGCTAACGCACAGAAAACACCTTCTTAGCCTTTATTTTAGATTCTCGATAAAAACAGATAAAGTAGCTAAGAATAAAGGGCTATTCTTTAAAGGCTTATAAGGTTTACTATACGAGCCTATTATTATAGGCTGTAAATAGTTATAGTGAACGGTAGCCCCTTCCTTAACGCTATAATATATAATTATAGTATTAATCGCATTATCCCTTTAATTATACTACCCCTTAAGAGTATCCCTAACTAGACTTATAAGTGCTTTTACTAGTAACTTTTAAGCTAGCTATTAAGAACGTATTATATAATCCACTATTAGTTTAGTAAAGCTTTTACCTTAGAGTTAACGTTTAATATTATTTACGGCTTATTCGTTCGTTTAATTGTCTTAGATTTTCTGTTTTAATACCCTTTTTAACTTTTATTTTAATAATTATAACGCGTGGTAGATCTTCTTATACTATTTAAACCTTAGGCGTAATTTTCGTAGTTAAATTATAAGCTGTTAAATATAAGAATTTAACGCGATAAATGTTATTTGCTTAGCTATAAGGCCTATTAGCTAGCGTTTACTTATAAAGTGTTTAATACTATAAGCTTAGTTAATAAGTGCTTATTATAGTTTTTCTTAATAAATAATAACCTATAGGTTCACACGAATAATACGATTAAGGTAATTTTTTTAAAAAGGGATAAAGTTAGCGTAATTAAGAGATAAGTTCTAAAATGCCTCGCTTATATTAGCTATTATAATAACGTTAAAAAAGGTTTTCTTACGTTAATTCTAAAATACTTATAACTTTAATTAAACTTATTAGCTATATTATAGCGTAAACTATAAGGTATTATTTTATATTAAAGTCCTATAATCTCACTTACTCTTTTAATCTAGCTCGTAATTATACCTTTAATAATAGTCTTTATTATTAATATCTTATACCCTATTAATGTTTTAATAGCGTAATAGAATATACATATATCCTTTAAGTTACTTTTTAGAGGTAAAGGTAGTTTACGCTCGCCTATATATATATTTAACTTATTTAGCTACTTAAAAGAAGTAAGGTGTAATACGCGAAATACTTTATATTAGAATAAAACGCTAAGTAAAAAGACATGTAAACTAAGAAGTAAGGAAGAATTAAAAATTATCTCTAGAATTATAAACGTTTTACTAATATTATATTAATAGATATAACCTTAGCAAGTATTACGTAAATAATAGAAACTATATACTTACGCATTCTTAACACTAAGATATAACTTTATAAACTCTAGCGTAAATTAAATTAAGATCTTATATAGTTTACCTTTTAGGTCTCTTACTAATATTACTTAAATATCCCCGAATTAAAGGTAAAGTATAAAGGTAAAGCGAGATCCTATAAAAGCAAGTAAAAGGAGAAAGAGTACTACTAGAATTCAGTGTTCTTTAAGGTTAAACGACTTCTTTATAATACTTAAAGTCGTTTTAATCTGCTTCTTTAAATTATTAATTATTATACATTAATTTACCCTCTTTTAATCGCTTAGTTTATACTTTCTAGTAAGCTCTTAAAGAACCTAGTAAACGTTATAACCTATACATTATTTTAGGTATTAAGTATAATGTACCTTATATATATTATAATTTAATTTTAGATTAAGCTTTACACTAATAGCCCTCTTATATACGAGTTAAAATACTTTCTAGGCTATATCTAATAAGCTACTCTTTATAGTTTCTCTTAACTTTCTACTATTCTTACCTAACTTTTAATTTAAATACCACTTAAAGAATTTATAGAGTATACCTATAAAGATTAACTTAAAGCATATATAAGGGTCACGTAATAGAACCTTATTATAGAACCTATTAGTAGTGTTAAAAAGTAAAGCCTAAAAGAAATTAGGTAGGTAACGTGTTCTATTATTACTATTATATCTTAGTTACGTTTAAGAGTATTATACTATTAAAGCTATAATCTTTACTAATAAAAGAATTTTCATTAAATTCTTTAATATTATAGCGGTAATATTCTAATAGATATATGTTTCTATTAAAGGGTTAAATTTAATTATTAACGTTTAAATTATTATTATTCTATGTATTAAACTCCGTTACCTTAATTTTATTATTAAATAAATCTACTTTATTCTTATTAAAATAGCTCTTAATGTAACGGTGGCTTAGGTTC